ACGATGCATAGACACTGTGAGGCTCTGAGAACTTGATGGGAGGTTGTGCAATATTGCTTGTTACACAGTTAGTCCCCAGCAGAGGGAAAGGTGTTATCAGCAAACAACTGCCAAACACTATCACAGAACTGAACCTCTTATGAAATGCTGCTTCACAACCTCTGACCCTGCATGGGTTGAACCTGTGCTTCTTGAGAAGCCCACATTCCTTGTGCTCCCTCTAGAATACTTTCCCCATTGCCAGCTGGATTCATTGGCATCCCAGGCATGAACAGGCACACAGCTCACAAACACCTTTCTAAGCTCTTGCCTCTTTAGACACCTCACTAACATTTTGGTTCTCGACTAGATGTTCGTCAGAATGTCTTGTGTACAAACTGAGGTCGGCCCCAACCCGAAGCACTGCACACAGGAAGCAAGCCTCATTGATTTTGAGGTTACCAGGGCCACATTAATCATGTGCATTAATCAAAGCACATGATCCTTATCCTTTGGTTCATTTATCACATCAAGGCAATAACAGCGCATCATTCCATATAGCATCTGTACAGAATAGAACAATCTGCCCAAGGGACCCAGCAAGGGAAATGTTAATGACAGCTGCCAGGAAATAATCCGCAATTCACTGCCATTCACTAGCTCCCTAAGCAGCAGATGGAAGCAAAAGTGGGCCAAAAGAAACTAAATTTTTATTGTGTGCAGAAGTGGGTGCTAAGATGGGTAAGGAGGATTAGACAGCCTTGCAGAACCAAAGGCTTTGACTTACCAATGCAGGTCCTGCCATCTGTGTGTAGACGAAAGCCTGGCTTGCACTCACAGTAATAGGACCCCAGGGTGTTCACGCATCTATGTTGGCAGCCCCCATTGTGAACCTGGCACTCATCAACATCTGCAGAAGGGGAGAGAGGAAGGACAAATACCTCAGAGAAGTGGGCATGAAAGCAGCTGAGCTCAGCATTCCTTGTCCTCCGTGAACCAGCTTCAGATATAAGGAACAAATGGAAAGGAGAAGAGAGGAGAGGAAACAGCTTTTCCATCATGTTTAATCACTCAAGCCATTTTGAAAATCGCAAGGACAGGCCTGTGATCAGCACTAATTTACATCATATGAATCATTCACCATAAACTGCTGTTTAGATGTCTACTTGACAACACTGACATTCCCAGAAGCAAATTAGTTCCTACATGCAACTTTCTGACTCTTGGCCATAGAACCAGGGTAAACAGAGTCAAGACTGATTCAATCAAACTACTGGAATTCCTGCGTCTGGTACAGCTTCTTAATCCTTCTCATTCTCCCTCTGCTGTAAACAGGCCAGGCTAGTCTATTTGCTATATAAATATTACACTGTTTATAACGATGGCATGAACAAGTAGCTAACTTTTATGCACAACCAGAGGGGACTTAGTTTTAAATACATAGATTCTATGGAATTATAGGTTCAGATCCTAGCACAGGAGATTCAGCCGCTTCATGAGGCAGATAAACTGGAGTCCTTTCAATTTACTTTAAAATAAGGGCTTGAACACAAGAGGCCCTGGCTTCTGTCCATGGGCAACTGAGTTAAAATGTGCCCACGCTTACATGAAACACTGCCCATGCCACCCAACTTGTGTGGGTCAACTGGGTTTTGTGCAAACAATTCAGCTGTGCACACGGTCGTGCTGTGCAATTTTGAAAAACCGGGCCACCATAAAAGTAGGAGTTTGTCTATATATCCTTGAGCAACATTTCCCCTTCCTCCCTCTGTTGTCTGCACAGCTGAAGTTCAAAGACATCATCAGCTGTAGATGGTGTGTGAAGCACTTTGACATGCGCTAGCATCAGAGACTGCATGTAAACATAAAATGTTATTACTATCAGGCCCTTCATCTCAACAGCACCTGAAGTCTTTTATTTCACAAACTAGATGCTCAGGACTCTTCATGTGATGCTGAAACTCTAGGGTAGAATGTGAGAAATGATTCAACTGTGCTCAGTAAATCTATAAATCATCATTAGAAGCCAGAAAGCAAAAAAAAAGATGAGCTTATCTCAGTAAAACTGATTACGATGGACCCTTATCTCAGATGTCCTCACAGTGAAATAGTGTATGTTTAATGACATGGCCAAGGTCAGCGTGACCACCTGTAAAAAAAAACTCTGAAATGTGCATTGGCAGAGTCATACAGGACAACTTTCTAGTTTGCCTTTGTTGGTTCTTCATACAGTCATTGCGGTATTGGGCTTTTACACCAAAAAAACCTGGAAAAACCAAAGCAGTATTTTCTGCAAAAAAGAAAGCAGCTTGGTCAGTGTTAATTTGTGTTTTTGTTCCCATTACTGAAACTACTTAGGCTTGAAGAAAAGAAAGAATCTCTAGCAGAATAATCTTGATGTATTCCCTCAAACCCTGAGCATTCTTTCAAGGGTTCAAATGCCAACAAACCTAGGTTTTCCTGGCAATGCTTCCTAATCCTCCTAATATTTAAAACTACAAAACATACAGTAGTCAGCTTGTGATAAAAGAGATTTATTTCTGTTCCACAGTGTGTTAGGTCATAGACAACTGTCCTGAAATACTAGCAACAATATTCCTCAACTGAGAATGCTCCAGCTACTTAATGCTAGCTTATCCTCTCTCCCTCTCTCTCTCTCTCTGCAACTTAGAGGTGAAAAAGACATATCTATGTCTAAAGGGTGAGTTGCACACACACACACACAATCTACAGAAATTAATTACAGGTCTGGCTTTTTCCTCTGTTCTAATTCCCCTCTCCCCTTCCTACAAAAAAGGAGGAATCCAAGGGCACTTCTACATGTGCTTTGATGAGTTCTGATTAGAATTGGTAGGAGCAGACTTGATTAATTGAGTCTGCTGGAGATCCAGAGAGCTGCTCTAATTAGAATACCCCCCACCCCAGAGCACATGTACAGGTGGCCCAAGGTACCAATATAAGTGGAAGAGTATCTGAAGGGCACCATTCTCTTCTGTATTTCAGAGATGTGGCTTCTTGGCTTAGAGAATATATGGTTATAATTCAGCTTGTTTTCCTGCTGTCTGAACATTCCTCTCACAGCTGAAGCAAAATGCTCAGAAAAGGTGCCTAACTGGATTTCTATCAGATGGTAACTGAATTTTGAAAGTCAGAATCGAGGAGAAAGGCTAATGGAATTAACACCCCTTCTCTTCTCCCAGTTGCAGGGGGTGACAACAGTCCTTCATGAGAACATAAGATCTATTTCCATAAGACCTATTTTTTATTCCAGTGAACAAAAGATTCTCAGACCAAACCATACCAGACAGGATAACCAGGAAGATGAGGTGCTTCAGCAGAGCTTTTAACTGAGAATAACTGTCCCTGCAAATGTCTTCATGAACCTCTAGGCAGCCAAACACTGTGGATAACCAGCAGGAAAACACATGCCAAATGTCTCACACAGCAGCATAGCCCCTCCAGGCTGCAAGGACTGGGAAGGAAGACAGAGCTCCTCAGACTCTGGTGGAAACAGACTTCGGCAGGTCTCATCTCTTCTATGGAAAGGATAACCAAGTAACTCCTAAACAGACAAGATGCCTCTGGGATCCTCCAGCATAGCCTGAAGAGATGGCACAGTGATCGGGGCAGAATCTCCTGCTCACATACTGGATTGACTTCCAGATCAAAGCAGCTAGCAGAGAAAGGCCCAGTGGTTACTGGGTTTGTGCTGCTATGGCTTAAGGTATGTGGGTTCCAGAACAATAATAAAAATACTTCTGTTCTCCTTTAACATCTCCTCACTGGACATTGTTTAGAAATATCAGTGAATGAAACACCATCACTCCCAATGACTTGGTTAAACCACAGACAGACAAGTGACTTGCTACAGGTCACATGGCACTTGGTGACAGGGTAACGGGTAGACCCCAGGAACCCCGATAGCAACTACTAACAAACCTGGCTTCTAGTCCCCTGCTCTCCCATCCTAGGCTGATTCTTTCTTAATATTCTTATGTGAATGAGAGAAGCAGTGGTTGCACAATACAGATCTGGTGTGAGGTGATGACCCTTTCTCTTGGCTGTCAGCAGTGGAGCCAAGGCTGGGTTGACTCAGGGGAACAGACGAAAAAGGTGTTCTCAGCAGGCTGGAAGTGTTTAACCAGAAGCAATTTTTACAGCAATAAAGCCAATAAAATGTGTTGTGATGTGAAACTTCAGCCCCCATTGGTTCTCTGAAGATTTTCCCAAAACACCAGTATTTCAGGGAAAAATGCTGCAGCAAGAGCTGATGCGCCTGCCAAGCCAATCAAGCTCTAACTTCTGCCCTAGATCCCTGCATGGTTTAGCTCCTGCAGGGTCCCAAAATGGACAATGTATCAACTGTACAAGATGGTTGGTTATCCACCTAGAACAGGGTGCCAAAAAAACCACGATGTCTACTTTGTAAGGTGTTGGAGTGTAAGCCTGCCAGAAAAACAAGACCGGGACAG